CGATCATGTAACAGTATTTTACTTAGGATTTGGGTGAACTGCAAGCAAAACAAAGTTCTGTGCTGTGTGATTAGGAGATATGTTTGGAGGAAGGAATTCATAGAATAAATAAAGCAACAAGTTAAAAATATGCCCCATTTCTATGCTTTTTGTTTCAAGAAACTTTCGCCACTTTGGAAGGAACTAGAAGACAAGTACCAAAGTATTGACCGGACGGAAATGGGATGCTAGGCTATGATTTAGCTGGATTTTCCCAAGAAATGTTCTACTTAGCATTTCAGCAGTCTTGCCTAGAAGGCTGTTTTACTTAGATCAGCTTGTGTATAATTTTATAGATCTACACTACTGTCGTATATTAGGTAGTGCTGATACGTTCTGCAGCTTTCGTTAATTGGTCATTACTAAGACTTCTGATCAGTTTTTGGGGTTAGACAGCTATCTTTTCTTGTCATGATTTTGAACGGAAGGGACTGGTAGTCATGTGTGTTTTTTATGACTGCGTCCGTGAATACTACACCTTTTGGCTTAGGGAAAGCTCTGTGTCTAGATTTCTTTTAGTTTTAGTCTGACCACTTCAAATTTCTCTATCAGTTAGAATTGTAGGTTTGTAAAGGAATCAAGATTTACTATAATTACTATTTGAATTCACCAATTCAGAATCCGCTCTTTTGAATATGGATGTGATATATGCAATATCTAATCTTTCTTGTGACCAATGTTAATCCTCGATTACCTATCAGAGCTGATATTTATCATACTCCCTTTTCTTTTCCACTACACTTGGTTATCTTTTTTTGTAGCAGTGATATATCCAACTCGTATATTTGAATTCTGATTAAAACAAAATTTCATATTCTCCCTGCTTTTTTCGGTTTTCTAGCAAATTATTAATGTACCACTTTTCATTTAAGTATAAGATGAATAGCTCTTCTAAAGAGTAAAGATATCTTTGTTTTGAACAATTAAAAAGTACCCCTGTTAAGTGGTAGTCAGAAGTGGGAATCTGTTCTCCTTATTTCTCCTTCTCACTTATTCTTTCTTAATATAATAAGAGTGAAATTATTTAAAAATAGTAGAGACGGTTTGGGAAAAAGGAAGTAACGTACTACCATTAAATAATTTGTTTGCTTATCGAAAAATTAGATAATCAGGATTTATGATTTAGTTTCTTTTCCAGACAGAAGAATATAAAACACAACAAAGATGAATGAATAGATTGAAAGGAGAGTAGAATTTCACAACCTACACGGTGTAATAATAAAAGAAACAAATAAATCAACTTAGAATCATATGTAGAAAGGCATCAATTCACTTTATTGTATTTTAAAACTATTAAAAAAAACGAAATGATACTAAAATAGATAAATATCAATATGAGAAGATACAGAATAACAAATAAAGGCTAAAGTAAATTTCGTGGAACTGTCTCAAATTTCAAGGATCACAAAGCATGACTGATTGAGTTCCAACATAGAACTTTGCATAGAAGTACAGCACGTCAAGTTGCCACACTCTTTATAGCCAATAAAGGCAAAGAAAAAAAGAAAGAAACTCAGAAGAATCATGATGAGCAGAAATGTACGGCAGAAAGAATGGTAACATGGAAGAACATAAGAGATTAATAGAAATGGCAGGTTAAAAAGAGTGAATATATCTGCGCCACTGACAATGACTTTCAGCCACATCACCAACAATCTCCAGTCATTGGTTCTTAGTGTTTCAAGGACCCCAACCAGACAGTTTACGTGCCTAGCGCAAACCAGCAGCTGAAGACTTCATGGGTTCTTGCTAGGTTTTGGTTTGACCACTCCTATCTCTTTTCCTACCCAACCTTAGTTCACCTAACACAATTCAAGAATGAAGGTAGTGCTCGGTATGCTTAACATGTACCCTAGCCATCTCAGTCGATGCGGCTTCGCAGCCTCGTTGATTAACTTATCCTTCATGCCTAACACTCTTCGCCTAACATCAATATTACTCACAATATTATACCACCAAACCCGGCAAACAGAAAGCAAACATAACTAGCTTTTCATACCTTCCACTTTCAATGGCCATATCTCACAGCCATAAAGAAGGACAGATCAGACTGCTGCCCAATACACATAGCCTCCGATTGATTACCAGATACCACCTTCATTACTGACAAATCTATTCACTGACATGAATATGATGAATTAATTACAAGTAAAGAATTCACCAGAGCTGATTCAGCGAAACATTTCCATCGCTGGAAACACAACTATCCAAGTATTCAAATTTCAAATAATTCTTTCTCTTGATGAACTTGACCAAAACTTCATGGCTAAATGTTTCAGTAGTCTTCAACAGTGCTATCACTCATTGGCTGACTGGTGGTAGCCACAAATTTAACGTCGAAAATGCATTTAAGATAAACTACATTTTATAAAGTACAAGTCGCTTCTAACCTATTACGAGTTAAAACCGAACTTGTGCACTGAGAAGCAGACTGCCGCAAATGTTTCCGTACCATGATGAAATTGTTGACGATATTATATATTATTCTAAATGTGATTATCTTAATTTCACTTAGTTTTGACAACATTATTTCATACCTGTTACTTTTTATCCCCATCCATACTTTTGACCTGACTGTCTCACAACTATTCAACTTATTTTAATCACTTCGACAATGTCACATATCAAGTGAATCACAACGCAAACTTCAGTGATGCCTTTGAAGTGAAGACAGAAGTAAACCAATGGTGCCTACAACTATAGAAGATATTGATAACTGTGATGGACTTGATTATATGGAAGAACACACGAAGAGAGGAGACAGGAACACACTGGACCGATAAGAAGGCTCTAGAAGATCAATGATTTATATCTAATGTCACACAAATTCGAAGACTCACAGGTGAAAAGCAACAACCTGACAGGAGAAGCAGTAAAGACAGGAATTCCAGTCAATATAAAGAAGATCAAGGTGATGAAGATAACCAAACAACAATAAGAACAACGAGCACCAATCACTTTCAACGGGAGTAATTTGAGAGGGATCACTTCCCTCACTTATCTGGGTAGTATCGTTTCAACTACAGGCGACAGTATGGATGAGAATGTCGAGACGAGCGAGAATCGGAAAGTCAAGACGGACATTCATCATCCTGAAATCAGTTTGGAAATCTTGTGCACTGAGTACAAAGAAGAGAGTTCGGATTTTCATCACCAATGTTAAGTCAGTCAGTTCTTTTGTATGGGTCAAACACGTGTCTTTCGTGTCACGAAAAGTATTTTTAACAGGTTATTTAAAACTTTATCAACAGCCACCTTCTCTGGTTCCATACTGAAGACCACATGGCCGGTGAAAATAATTAGCAAGAAGACACTCTGGGAACGAACGAATCAAGAACCTATTGCTCAAGGAATATGTGGGAGAAAATGGAGATTATCTGGAAATACGCTGAGGAAACTATTGGGTGACATCGCACTCCAGGTCCTCGAGTGGAGTCGGAGTGAGAAATGATGAGCTGGGCCTCCGAGAGTGACATGGAAAATGACCATGCGTAGGGAAGATGATAACCTATGGACAACCAAGAAGCCAGCTAAAGAGTACTCCAGGCAATACGATAAAATGTAGGCGTGCTGCTAAAGCCCCATATTCCACTCAGAACCCAAGTCAATAATAATATTTAGTGATAATAATAAATTATGTAACTCTTTAGGTGCAAATACTGTGAATTTTACACATCTAATTAATGCTCACCTTATCTGTTTTCAGCTCTAAAACATTCTCGTAATTATTTCTATTTATACCAGCTGTCGCTGATGATATATGTCTGATTTCACACAAACTGGAAGATATGCAAGCGAAAAGCAACAAGTTGACAGAAGAAGCATCAAAGATAGGACTTCAGGTGAACATAGAGAAAACAGAGGTGATGAAGATTCCTGGGCAACACCATCAACAGCAACAAAAACAACTGACAACAATCAGCATAAATGAGAGGAACCTGAAAGAAACAACCTCTTTTACCTACCTGGGAAGCATCGTTTCAGATACAGGCGGAACTGACGAGGATATCAAAGCAAGAATCGGAAAAGCAAGACAAGCTCTCACTACTCTCAAGTTTGTGTGGAGGTCAACAACTCTCAGCATCAAAAATAAGATCCGGATTTTCAACTCCAATGTTAAGTCAGTCAGTGCTACTATACGGATCAGAGACTTGCACTGCGCGTCATAAAGAGCATCTCAAACAAACTACAGACCTTCATTAACAGTTGTCTTCGCTCAATACTCAAGATCAGATGGCCGGTCAGAAAAGATCAGCAACAGAGATCTCTGGCAATGAGCGAACCAACCAGGAACCAATTGTGAAACAAATAGGCAGGAAGAAATGGAGATGCATTGGCTGGTCATACTCTGAGGAAACCATCAAGTGACATCACTAGATAAGCCCTTGAGTGGAACCCGAAAGGGAAGCGGCGAGTTGGTCGTCCACGGGTGACTTGGAAGAGGTCATGTGAAGAGGAGATGAAAACGTGTGGGCAGACATGGAGCCAGGTGAAGACTCTAGCAGAGAAGCGAACGCAATGGAGACGCACGGCTGAAGCCTTATGTTCCTCTAGGAATTAAAGGATACAATAATAATAATAATACCAGCTGCTATTCTTTCCTTTTGACTTTGTGTACTCAATTTTCTAATGTTGACGACCTTCTTCAACTTATCTTGTATTTTTACAATGAAATTATTTTAGGTTGTGTTCAATTGAAATAAACTGACAAAATAAAAATGACATCACAATATCTTGCTCATTTTGTTGTTCTTGATTAGTTCAAGCTTAATTCATTATTCCTCTGATGTTATAAGCTCACGTGTAAAATCAATAATGGCGTATTTTAAATATTCCTCACAATAGCCCAGTACATATGATCAAATGATTTAGGCAAACAGATGTTATTTCCTTTTATTTTCTAAATAAAATAAACAAATTGAGAAAAAAAAATATCTGATAAAAATAAACACTAGGACGTTATGAATATATCACAATTAACTGCACCATTTGCTTTAATGACAACACCAGATTTTCATACACTCAAAGTTGAATGGTTTGACAGTCTGGAGGAACTTGAAATGGCCGGTATAAGATGTGCTATAGAAGTTTCAATTAAAAAGAGTGATTTTAATAACTGGGAAGTTATATACCTGTAAGCTTAGTGGATTTAACCTGATATATAATCTGTATTTGAATTCTGAATATCAAAAATACGTATACCTTCCTCTGTATTCTCTTCCTTAGAGGTAGAAGTGATCATTGTGTGAATACAAAAATGGAGCCTGGTGGCGAGTATCTTGTACGATTGAGATTAGTTATGGATGATTCATATGGACCATATGGTGAAGAACAACTAGTTGAAATGCCAGTTGAACCAAACTCTGGCTCTGACTTACACAGAGCAATTAAATTTGAGGATTATGAACAAGTAGTACGTATACTTGAAGCTAAGTGAGTGGTACACCGTTTTAAACAGCCTGGATTATAATTATAAATCAAAACATTTTTCTGACAATTAATCCACTTGGGCCAGTTTGATTCTATTCTTACAGTATGTCAGTAGTCCAGTCAGTCTAAAACATTTTCATTGCTTATAACTTCCTAAAAAGTAATTCCTGGGAATTCTTACATGATTATTTCTCTATATGGAAAATTTCTTACTTATCCTACATATAAACCAGCACAAATAAATGATTTCCTTACATTAGAAGCTGTTATCATATATGAAATGCCTAGTAGTTAGTACTTTGGTTTCCTAAACGATGGATATGGATTCCAGTTCAATCGAGAATGCTGTCATTCAATGGAATCCAGCTGTATTCAAATGGCAACTCCAGAAATATGTTTGTGGGCTCGAGATCCCACTGCTGTCCAACAATAAAACAAATAATATCCAAATGTTGTATGATACTATGTATATGACCCGTGTAAATTGCCACTGACGGGCACGTTTGTAGACACTTTAAAGTCAGACACTGTCGTTTAATCCACGCACTGATTATGTTTAGTCATTGTGAAAACAAGCCCCTCGATACAACATCTTTCATCAGCAAAAGAGTTTGCAGTGGACAAAAATGAAAGGATATAAAGCAGATTTAACTTGCTTGAAAACTAAGTCTAGTGCCTTGAATTTTCTGTGGTGATTGGGTTAATTTTCGGGGATAAAGTCGTCAGTCACTCGTTCGACCCTCCCACAGTAGTTGCCCTAGTTCCATTCTGAGGATTAGATGTACACCACGAAAGGATAAGCAAGAAGATACGAACCAACTAAGAGCTTATTGACCAGAAAATATGCCGAAAGAAGCAAAGATATTTCTGACACACACTGAGGAAACCACTGAATAACATCACGCGCCACGTAGGCCTTGGCTAGAATGCTAATGGGATACAACGAGTTGAGCGTGGGTCCGAGGATGACATGAAGGAGATCACATATGGAGGAAATGAAAGCTGATGGAAAATCGTGAAGCAAGTTAATGGGAACTGCAGACAACAGAGTGGGTGGAAATTTACTGTTGAAGCCCTATATTCCAATCGGAACCCAAGAGAATTAATAATAATAACAACCCCGGTGCCTTTACGGGAAGTCCACATGCAGCCTATCTTTAATGCCTAAATACACTTGATGACAGGTTGTTAGACAGACACAATATCTGATTTTGAGGAAGAAATATATTTAATTCATTTTTTGTGAGATGTATTAATGGATTGTTATGGCATTATATATTTCCAACAAACTTATCTATCGGGTTCAGAAGTGGTTGGAATTAATATTTCAACACCCTTAGTGGTGTGCTTTGAAGCTAATTATACTCATAAAGATGGATTACTCTTAAGCACAGAGGTTATTTTTAAAAATTTTCAGTAGCCCTCGTTCTAGTGCCCTATCTTTCTTCATGATACTGTTAAAATGTTTCGGATAACATCCTTTTTGTGTCACGACTAGAAATAATTCACTTCTCTGTAAGTTTCTGTGATTTTTAGAAACCCATGTTATCTTTCACATGTGAGAATCTACTGACTATATATTTGATCACGAGCTAACATCAGTTAGGAAATCATTGGAAAACCTAGTAGTACTGGACAGCTGTTTCGTCATGGACCAGGACTCTTCATTAGTACTTGCCCACCGCCATTTGAGAACCAGGATCTTTCAGCTACAAGGTAAGCTCACAGACCATTTACCCGCTGGGATCCGGCCCAATGGTCCATAAATGCCAACTTCTGACAATTCACCATGTATAATAAAACCGTCACCCATAATCATAGGCGAGCAAGTGACCTATTACCTGATTTTGTGAACCGCGCTGATCACGACTTCTCACTAGAACTCCAAGTAACTTAGTGAACACAGCCATTCACCAGTAAGTATCATATTAATTATTAGGTGTTGGTTTTCAGGGATTCGATTGGTTACAAGTTTGATGGTGAGCAAATATCGGTTATAGAACCATTGGAAAACCAGCAGGGAGTGCTGGACAACTGTTTCCTCCTTGTTTGGGACTCTTCACAGCACGTATCTACTAGGGTTTGAACCCATAACCTTTGTTGTTTGACATGTTTGCTACTGATGAGGATAGAGTATGTACTAAATCACCTTTTTTGATTTTCTCTTAAGGCAAGTAAATATTGAAACAGCAGATCAGTTTGATTTTACGCCTTTAATGTCTGTGGCTAATAGAAATTTGAAAGAGTAAGTCATTTTTGTTCTCTTTTATATCGACTCAAATGTCGACTAAACAAATTGTAATTTGATTACTCTTGACCCCAGGTATTTCTTCTCTATCAGTCTTTACTGTCCAGTGTAAGAGGCACACAAGACCCAAAGTGTGTAAACAAAATAAGAACATGTGTTTTAATATTTCTTTTAAGGCGAGTTGTCCCTAACTTAACCTAGTAGTATGAATTTCTTTGAATGATGAACTGATGATTTAAGCGAAATACGAGGGGAAAAATAATAATGAACAATGGGTCTCACAACTCATAAATTTCAAACATTTTACTCGATTTTAAAGAAACATGATCTTATAGAAAATCAGGACTCAGATACAGAGAGAGAAGGAGGAGAAAATAATAAATGACTACTGCACGCGGTAGAAATGGCTAAACAGTTTCTTGGGAAATAACTTGCTCAAAAATGTGTGTGTTGTTTGAATGTTAGATAAATAAGCAAAAAACTACTCCAGTAGATCATAAAAATTAAGACTTCTGGTTCATCGTGTAACGCTGTTAGCGAAAAAGCATTGAAAATACTACTGAGCACTAAAAAATGATAAAAAAGAAGACGTATCACTAATATGGTTTGGAAATATAATTAAATTAAAGATGGCTGCTACCACGAATTGATGTCAGCTAATAAAGCATTGACAACTAAAGACCAAGGGACAGTTATGCATTGTAATCTGACAAAATTGTAAATCGTATATTTTTGAATTCCGACCCAGTGGATGGGTAGCAACATGTTCACATAGGAACTAGATGACTGTCAGTTGATTGTTATACGAGATCATGAGCACCCACCACCAAGTTGTCTCATACTGGGATGAAGGCACTATCCAGTACACCTTGACACTTAATGACTCTTCAACTTACATCAGCTACTGTCAAATTCTTAATACCATAATACAGTTAATTACTTTACATTTGTAGATGTGAACATGTTTCCTTCATTAAAGTAGGGAATATGTGCGAAGTCTTCCTCAAAATTGAGAAATAAGCGGATATTGGAGTGTAATTGTACATGTGATTAGACTCACTTTGAACCTGTGATTATGTTTATGGCGTATTTTAGACGATCCTGTGGAAGGCAAGGGATAATGTTTAAGGAAATCATTCATTTTACTAATTAATTTTGATTGAAATTATTTCTACTCACAAGTTTATCCACTGACATGATAAGAAATTTGTTTAGAAAATAATTTTTTGATTAATGGGACATTTTGTGTTTGTTTTAATACATTTACTAAGCTTATCGTGTTACCTAATTTGAACTAACAAGTTCATTCTAGTGTAGATAATGACTTATGATACTCATGAAACACCTTGAACTTTCTATAGTTTGGTTTGTAAGGATTAGTTATGTTTTACGAGTTGACCGGAAGGTCCTGGGTTCGAATCCCAGTGAGTGCGTACTGCCGATGATTCCCAAACTAGGATGAAACAGCGGCTGTCCAGTACTCCCTGGTTTTCAATGGTTCTCTAACTGATATCAGTCCCTGATCAACTCGTAAAACACCTTGAACTCACAACTAATGATCTTCGACATCAGATTCAGATTCAGTCGCTTAAAAGAGATACTCATTCATTCTTGTAGGTCTGTTGACCCTAACTAGTAAGAACTGAGTATATTACTACTGTTCCTTTGGATTCTGAATGGAACATTAGGCTTCAGCAGTACATCTCCATTTCATCCTGTTCTCTCGAGTCCCATAAGCATTTATTTCCACCTCGCAGGATCTCCTCCATATCACCCTCGCACCCATGCCCAACTCGTCGTCTCCTATTCAGTTTTAACTCGAGGGCCTTGAGAGTGACGTCACTCGACAATCTCACCTAGTTTACTATCTGATCTTAAGCCCGGGAAGAGAGGGAAGGTTGGGCGTGGGGCTAATGATTTTAGCCCTAAACATCAATTCAGTAGCGACAGAAATTTCAAAGCACACAAAAATGAAGAAATGGTAGATTTTAAATATTAAATATTTGGGACTATTTAAATTCTTTGAATACAGTATGTGGCCTAGAATAAGACGACTTAATTTACATTGCATGGAACTTATCCATTAAAGAAGACCGACAGGACTAGTTTTCTTGTTTAAAGTTAACAAGCAAGAGATTATCAAAAATTATATCCGCCAGTAGTCAGCAGTTAGTCCTCTTCGTTTTCTCAGATTTACCCCAGTAAAATATTCGACTAGAAATGATTCTTGAAAGTCAAGCTGGATAAACTGCTTCAGTCTATGCACAGACATTTAAAAGGTCTACGTTTAAACAACTTCTACTGACTTTCACATAACTTTATCATCGCAAATGATTTTAATACACGCAAAGTGAGTTAAACTGGTTCGGTCTGTGAGGTAAAACATGCCCTAGCAAAGAAATGTCGACAAGCAATTAACATCCAACCTACAAAATGCATTTATTTATCGAGACAGCTAAATTAATAAAGTAACGGTAATCCTCCGCTTAAAACTGATTTTCACCTCTGAAATTTCTAATTAGGTATATTTGACTCAGCATATAGTTAGAAATATCTTTGAAGACAAATTCTGGGTGATTATGGTGACTAGATTGATGTCACAACGTTTATTAGGTAATGTTAAAAGATTTTGATGGACTATTTTTTAACTTTAAACTTACAATATTTATTTCTGAGACAGCATAATTTATTTTGTTTCATTTTATGAAAGTATGGTTGGACTTTTATTAAAACACGGTGCAAATCCGAATACAGCGAATAAATTAGGTAAAACTGCGGTAATGATAGCTGCTAATAAAGGATATGCTGATGTTGTGGAGACTTTAATTCAAAATGGCGCTGATCCTAATTTACAGGTAGGTTGAATATGAGTTGACTTTAATATAAAGAGTAAACATTGCGTGTAAAGCATCCATGAAACTGGTAATTTTCTCATTCCCATGTACTCTGAGTGGAACGTAAGGCTTTATTCAGGCTTTAGTTTCGAAGTTTCAGTAACATTGGAGTTATTTTTATGACGTTGATGTTGCCAACCTCGTGTCCAACCTTCTCTCTTTACCTGTCTTACTATTAACTAACTGAGGTTTGGGAGTGCGTCAATAGAGAATCACACCCAGACCACTTGTGTTTAGGCGAAGATCCTACCACTGAACCGGTGATCCTTAAGCTGATAAATATACTCACGTAATCTACCAGTTATTTTTATTTTTACTATGCATTATATACGTGGACTGTCAGTCGGATAATGTTAGATATTGCATTTTTATGGTTAAAGCTAACATAAAGGAATGTAGCATTTATAATTTGCTAGACCGTACTACAAACCAGCGATTGTTGCTCAACAACAGATACTAGGAAAAAATTTTCAAGAAGCAAGGATGCCTAGTATTACTGTTGTTGCCAGCAATTTTACACATTTGCTAGAAGATCTAGGCTTCAGGGATAATTTCTGTTTGATGTTATATAAATTCGAAGACTCACAGGTGAAAAGCAACAACCTGACAGGAGAAGCAGTAAAGACAGGAATTCCAGTCAATATAAAGAAGATCAAGGTGATGAAGATAACCAAACAACAATAAGAACAACGAGCACCAATCACTTTCAACGGGAGTAATTTGAGAGGGATCACTTCCCTCACTTATCTGGGTAGTATCGTTTCAACTACAGGCGACAGTATGGATGAGAATGTCGAGGCGAGCGAGAATCGGAAATTCAAGACGGACATTCATCATCCTGAAATTAGTCATTTGTACTCAGCACACAGAACAAGGTTAAGATTTTCAACGCCAATATTAGGTCAGTTCTTCTTTATGAGTCCGAAACTTGGCACCCTACGAAAAGCATTTCCAACAGGCTGCTGGACATGTTTATCAACAGCCACCTTCTCTGGCTCCATACTGAAAATCAGATGGCTGACCAGAACGAACTAGCAGGAAGAAACTGTGGGGACGAACCAATCAAGAACCTATCGACCAACAAATATGCCGAAAGAAGCAAAGATATTTCTGACACACACTGAGGAAACCACTGAATAACATCACGCGCCACGTAGGCCTTGGCTAGAATGCTAATGGGATACAACGAGTTGAGCGTGGGTCCGAGGATGACATGAAGGAGATCACATATGGAGGAAATGAAAGCTGATGGAAAATCGTGAAGTAAGTTAATGGGAACTGCAGACAACAGAGTGGGTGGAAATTTACTGTTGAAGCCCTATATTCCAATCGGAACCCAAGAGAATTAATAACAACTCTGTGAACTATTTAGGAAGAAAATAATATTCACTTAGAGCACTGTTATCAATTAAATTGAAAGTCTCCAGCTCAAGACCTGATCGAAACCTTTTTTTTCCAGAATAGCTCATACTCGTTCATGTAAAATATCAACCTACAAAAAGTATTACTGGCACTGCCAAAAATAATATTTGGATTTGAAAGGTGAAAAAATTGCACATATGTTTTTCTTATCAATCATATTCTCCTTGTTACATGGCATATTTATACTTGGTGATAAATCTTCATTTGAATATGCGATTGAAATTTCGCCATCAGGCAAAAAGTTATTCTCGGCAGAAAAAGGAACCTGAAATATTTGCATATCCGTAAAATCTGTCATATAATGGATGCATAGGTAAGATTAGTAAGAATGAGAAATTTGAAAAGAGAAAGTGAACACATTAACGAAAGCACACAGAAAAAATTGTTGCAGGACAAAATGGACAGGAACATGTATATGTGAATGCAATTTTCAAAACTCAAAATATGATTAAGTTTGGGTGTTGTATATCACTTTGAACAATTTTGTGTCATGTTGTTAGAAAGCGTCAAGTATGGGTTTTGATTGTATGTCTTGATTTTCAGTGAAAGAACTAGTGAATAGTCATAGACCTCATGGACTCATTAAAAAAACTTTTAAACTCCGTAATGAATAACGGCAATCGATTTTTATTTGTGGTGTACCATTCTACTTCATTTTAATCCTTCCTGTAATTCGGGAATATTGCTTTCTCTGGATAGTCAAATTTGTATCTTTGAATATTGAACGTTAAACATTTGCCTATTGATTAGTCTTTGTTCTAAGGTAATGAGTATTTGCAGCTGAAGTGATGGATTCCCCATTACTTTTATGGTCGTTTGAGCTTTGAATTTCGTCAGTGTGACTTTAAACACCCGTCAAGACATTGTCTTCGTTTATTACTTCTTGAGAAGGTCTTCATTGTTCCTTTTACTTTTAGAGATTTAATATCAGGACCATTGGCTTTGCTATCTCATTACTAAAGAAAATTTACCTGTAACTTGATGAAGTCGCTAGTTCTATATTTTATTATTTTCCCCTTGAGTTCTAATTAGAACACCACCATTTCACTCTCTCTTATGCAGTCTTTTTGGCTGGATAGACGCTTGTACGCAAGCTTTAATTTCCTCCTAACACTATCTCCTAGTCACTCATGAAAACCAGCTTGTCGTTCCCCATTCGGGCTCAATTCGAGTGTCTAGAGCGTGATGTCAACCGAAAATCTCCTCGATGTATGTCCGACCCATTTCCACTTTCCTCGGGCATATTATTTGGGAGATTGATTCTTGGCTGGTTCGTTGCCAGAATTCCTTATTGCTTATTCTTTCTAGCCGGCTGTCCATCTGATCTTCATTGTCGAGCCAGTGAAGGGAGCTGCTGCAGTCTGTTGGAAATACTTCTGGCAACCTACCCGCCAAATGTCTGAACCATAAAGAGACGCAGACTTGAATTTAATGCTGAAGATCCACACCTTGTTCTTTATGCCAAGGGGAGAAGATTTCCAGACTGATTTAGGACTAATGAAAGTCTGTCTTGCTTTTCTAACCCGATCTTGACCAGGTTTGAAATCCTCATCTGTAACTCCTATAGTTGAAACAATGCTGCCTTGTTAAAAGGAAGAAGTTGTTTCCTTCAAATTTCTCCAGTTTATGGTGACTGATGCTTCTTGTTGTTGTTGGTTCGTTATTGGTATAAATACTAATGAAAGTGATAAGGTGAAACAAGGTTCCACTTAATCAGGACATTACAGATTAAAAATTTAGTCTATTTAATCTTCATTTTAAAAGACATATAGTTGGCACTGTTTATAAATGATTTCATTAACATAGATTGAATCACTTATTAAACTAGGCATTGGGTTGTTTAAATCTGTCACACTTTTCATTAGTTTCCTCTGAACATCTTTGAAATTTCAACATATGTCAAAATGAATCGTTATACTGCATTGTTACATTCAGCATTATTTACACAAAACCTAATTACTTAATATCTTAGTTATTTCATAGTACGCCTGCATTTGTTATTTTTTATCAGTTATATTAATGTATAATTTTAGGACATAAATGGAATGCATAGTTTATTCTATGCAGTTGATGGAGAGAATGCAAATATGGTTCGTTTACTGGTCAAACATGGAGCACGAACAGATATGGAAGATAAAGATAACCAATGGACACCCTTAATTCGTCTAGGTAAGCTTCTAATTGCTAGTCCTTTTATAATACACATAAATACATGCTTTTTACACTCCTCGTACCCCGAGTGTAACATAGAGATTCAGGCTTTGCAGTTTCAGTAATGGTAGTGTTGTTTTTAAGGCGTGAGACTGCCAGCCTCATGCCCAATAACCCCTCTTTTCCTGGCTTACTAACTTCTGGGCGGGATCTATGAGAGTTTCAGATGGAAATCCCGTACAGCTAATGAGCACTAAATCGTTGAACCACCCAGGCACGTACATATATACATACATACATATCGGAATATCTTACTTGATAGCTTCTAAATTTACAACTTGCTACTTGCGTGCGCTATGTACCAGTTAAACGGTCTGTCTTTGTACTTAATTTCTCAGTTGATGATGTCTTTAAACATTTAAGTAGAATATCGTAGGTTCTGCATCACAAGACCTGAAAGATTCCATAATAATCCTTAGATAAGTTTCCCTTTCCAAGGTGAATTGTATTCTTTTAACACAAGACTGAAATTCTTGAGTATCATTGTAATGACCTTTTGAGCTTTACTGTCACTGTCATTCACTATCATTCTTGTGAAGGTGAGTTTTAGAATGACAGTCTCAAAATGTGCAACGAGCAATTTTCATTAATCTTGAATAACTTTAATCTCAGTTAAATACTTTTTAGTATCTTTTATTTATTATGCAGACATTATTATCAATATTCTGCTGCTGAAACAGAATGAAAATGTTTAAATACGCTAACTATTTGGACAGCACATGCACAATGAAACAATTGATTAGTTGTCGTATGTTTGTAACATGAAAGAAGCCAGTATACTTTTCAAGCACCACTATAAACTATTCGTACTGAAAAGATGAAACTCAATCACTGTCGGTTTTTCAAAATTATAGATTCAAAAAACAGTAATCACGAGAAATCTTATCTATTCTACTGAAATAATTTGGTCAGTATTTAAACTCTTTAATCAGTGAATCAGAAATCGACTGACAAATAGGTAAACTGAGATCAGCTACAGCATTGGTGAATTCTGTTGTTTCTGTTCTGATCCATGAAGGCTGTGATGAGTTCATCGTTAAGCAAAATTAGTGCTCGACAAATAAACGTTCGTCGTTCACACTGACAATCAAAAATAGTGACTGGTCACTGTGCTGCAGTTTAAGCATGACGAATAATTGGAATTAAATTAGCAACTCAAAGAACTTTAATTTTTAACAGAAACGGAAGTTAATCAAGTCTTCAAATTTGATCGCGGATTGATATCAACAAGAGAACCACTGAAAACCAGGAAGTACTTACAGTTAGAAATCATGGATCAATGAATCCCCTGCCAGTGGCTAAATGGCCAACCAGCTAACTTTGTAACCTGAAGGTTCTGGGTTCGTTCCCCAGTGGGATCATAGGTAGGAAGTGCTGAATAGTCCCAGGCAAGGATGACACGTCTTTCAAGTGCTCCTTGGTTTTCAGTTGTTCTCTAACTAATATCAGTCTATAATCAAACTTGAAACCAAACAAATCCCTGCAAACCAACACCTGAAGAATAATCAAGTCTTATTTTGTTGTGAAAATAAGGTTTGTTGTGTGTTACATGTAAGATTTTTAACTACCTGCACTTCAGGCTGTCTTTTGAGAAACTTAATGATTAAAATAAGGCAGAAGAATGATGAAATAACCAACCTGAAACGTCTTCAGCTTGAAGGATAAGTAATATACGTGTACAATCAACAAGGAAAAAGAGACTAATGGTACGCTATCAATGTTTTCTGGTTCAGATTCATAGAGAAACAGTGGTAGTATATAAGTTGTAAAGGATGAGACTTACACTCATGCAGGAGGAACGTAGTGTACATTATCTGAAAAGCAAATCACCCTAGATTTTGTAAAATAAACGATCTGAAGTTAAAAATCCTCCTCTAACAGCCCTCAGACCAATTTTAAGTTGGACAAATTATGGATTCCCAATCCTACATTTCACTAATACTAAATAGTGCTCATAAATGATAAATCATTAGTCAAAGCTAATAATACATGCTGTTAACACTCTTTCTTCCCGAAAAATCATTCAAAGCATGTTTAGCAAACAATGGTAATGCAAGGGTTGGTGCTGCTCTTCTTGACTGTGGAGCTACTGTTAATAAACAAGATAAATATGGACAAACAGCATTAATGCATTGTGCATTTCATAGAAACCATGTGGATTTAGCTAAATTACTTTTATCGCATGGAGCTGATCCAGATATTAAAAATAAGGTAAGCTGTGTAGCCGGTTATTTTATTTTGACGTATAGTTTGTGTAAATGTTAAATAAAATTATCCAAAATGGCTTATCTTACCCATCCACGTAAGACAAACGTCTAAACAGAAGCGTTTCATTGTCAGGCAGATGAACATGGCGGAAAAAGCTATCAAGTCATTGGATATAAAAAGTGAAGAATTGATAGATACTAGGTTTGAGTCTTTGAGATACAGGCAAATCCAGTTGACTAGTTCAAAATAGGACAAATTGCGCACCCGAAATCCCATTGTCCGTCATCATCAACTAAATTAGTAGGGAAAAAATTGTTAGGAGAAACATTCCCGCTGTCAGCGAGTTCATTCACATGGCTGTACAACAGCATACTTGTATGCTAAATTTTAGTAGGCTTGAACAATATTTTGATTGTAATAGCTATAGCTACAATAACCAAAGAAATATCACTCACATCAGAAATTATTCAAAAATCCAGAGTATACCTGTGAATAATGAAAACTACTCAGAATGTTAGGAAAAATTATTATTGGTTGCGTGATAATTATTATACATTTGGTAAATGAGATGTAATTATTGAAAGCACAGAGAGAAGGATGGACGTGTAGACAAAAGCTGATATATATAATAATAATAAGATAATTATAGTCAAAAAGCACAGGCATTTTTATGCTGCTACGTAGTGATGTGTAATTATTTATTCGACGTTAAACAGTTTCTTCTACGTAGTCCATATTTCTAACTGTCCATTCTACGGTAGTTTGTAACCCCGCATCAGTTGTTCACTAATTAACGTAATTATTAGAACAGAATTCAGTATTCTGATTTGAAACTAGTAACCAGTGTTATGTGTCTAGTCCTCTCTTTGGTGCAGACTGAAGTCTATCAGTCAGATTTGTAATGTGACCACCATTCTAGGTAGCTCATCATCATGGTGCAAATTGATCTGATGATATTAGATAGTTGGAGGCAACTGGCAGGAAGCCTTGGACCTAGCTTTCGTGCTAGTTGGCACTCTTCAGCAAAGCCTATCTGCAAATTTGAAGGAACTCATGTCCCTTCTGAGATTCGAACCCATGTCACCCAGTGCTGCAGTCAGAGACGTTACCACTGAGCTATTCGGGCTCGTGATTGACCTGACTGATAGAATTCAGTCTGCACCAAAGAGAGGACTAGACACATCACACTAGTTACTAGTGTCAAATCAAAATATCCACTACAGTCCTACAGGAGGTCAATCACGAGCCCGAATAGCTCGGTGGTAACGTCTCTGACTGCAGCACTGGGTGACATGGGTTCGAATCTCAAAAAGAACATGAGTTCCTTCAAGGCTGCAGATATGCCTTGCTGAAGAGTGCCATCTAACACGAAACCTAGGTCAGGTAGGGCTTCCTGCCGATTTCCTTCAACCATCTAATGTCATCAGAATTCAGTATTACTACATAACGGTCAAATTTGTCAATCCTTACATCTATGCATAAAGTAAAACATAATAATTTTTTTTAAACAGAAAATTAAGATGGAACAACTAAAAGTTTTAGAAGATCATAAGAAAAAGTAGTTATTCTAAATGATGTAAGACAGATTTACTAATGTCAGTGATTCAGCATGCAGATTCATCACATTCGGTAGTAAATCACTGTAAATAATTAACTAGAAACCGTGGAGAATTAACATACCACCTCGAACACTATCTACTAAACACTATGGTCGTTAGTGTTACATTCTGATTTGTATGAAGTTAAAATGGCTTGTGGCAGTAAAACTTGAGAAGTTCCATTATGCACTGAATGAAGAGTAAGACAATACTTCAGTTGTGTTTCAAGACATACACTTCGAATGAGTGTGAAACAATACATGATGGCTGGTTCATTCCGAAAGTGTGTTGCAGTGTACTATAACAATAATTATTTTTTAAGAATGCTAAAACTCACAAAAGCTTCCATAAGTATATACTCTGTAGGATTTCATTCTTCTGTCCAGCTCTCAAAGTCAATCATCTTTTAGTTCAATTTATACAGTATTTTACATTTGACGCTAAATTTGAGGTCATTGAACTAAGTCCTCTCACTCAGTAGATTTTCCCACTGTATATTATTCACTGAGCATCTTTTCTAAAGATATTCGGTAATAATGTCTTACACTTCCTACTTCATTTCCTTGGGAAGTTGAATCAGCCCTGATGGATTGATTACTGACGAAATGTCAGCACGGATACAGAAGGCTCGTGTGATATTTGCCAATTTGCGTCATTTTAAGAACAGACGTGATATCTGGCCATGCATCAAACGACGTGTTTGTAGCGCAGTAGTTCGTTCTGTTTTTCTTTATGGCTGCAAGATATGGTCACTGAAAGTGAAAGGTATGAAAAACCTAGCTATCTTTGACCGTACTAGTTTGCTTTCTATCTCCAGTGTCAGGTGGTATAATATGGTGGGTGACACTGAGGTTAAGCGTAGAGTGTCATGTAGTGTGGGAAAGACAATTCACGAAGTTTTGTAGCTGCATCGATTGTAATGGCTAGGATACGTTTTTCATATGCCAAGTCAACACCTTCCTCTACAAGCTATGTTAGCTAATATAAAGTTCACGAAGTGCTCGAGAATTGCCCTAGTAACTGTCTTGCATTGTCTTTTTGCTAGCCATGCTGGATAATGTTCAGAGATGCGTTAGGAAAGTGTGCGCTTTGTGCGGCCAATACATTTAGCTCATCAGTATTTCTTAACACTTTAAATCCTAACAAATTGTTAACACTGTTCCACACTATACCTTTTCTAAAGTCATTCAAAAGAAATCGCAAACTTCTCGCCTGAGATAACTGACAATAATGAGAAATAGTATGTTTATCATATGAATTCAGTTCACTAATCATTTTGCTTATCTGCGAAATGTCAACGGTGGAATACTCATTCTGTGTTCGTGGCTTATCTAAGACAGTCTGTCAGATTGTTTACATTTGGTTGTACCTTAAACAACCAGGAAATCCCATGTTATCTATTCATAATTCGCCTATAAAGCTAAAAGACGTGCGTTTTTTCTATCTTATTGACAGTAGGTAGCTGAAAGCACATGACAAAAAGTCAAAAACTTGATCAATAAAATTCAGTAAACATCAAGGTCTAAAACAAAAGCACATTAGTTTTCTAATTGTCAGTTAGTTTTATGTAATCCAATAAAGTAAAAGATCAAACATGTGCTAAGTGTCCTCTTGACAACAGTACTGACTGACCAAGGTGAGGCGAAATATGTTCTGTTGATGATTATAGCTACATCCTACTGATTAATGCTAAAAGGAACAAGGCCTCTAAAGGCTACATATTAAAAACGCCTTTAAACCAATAAAACTTAGACATCTTTAAAAACAATGTTGTGAGTCAAACGAATTCATAAATGAATAAACTATTAGTTTGTGTAATGAATGACATCGACGACAATTGTGACTATATTACTTTTTAGTTTCTATGATGCATAAGAGTCTCTCCATTTTAATGACTTCCATTTTTTCTACAGAAAAACAACACTGCTATTGACATAGCTCGATCACTGGAAAACTTGGTAAGTAAAATTAAATTAAAATTATAAATATTCCTCCTGGGATAAATCTCCATCAATTAATACACCGTCTTCCCGTAAATTCATCTGGGAATAGTTAGGACTTCATAGCTTATTCTTCTGATTATCCTTTAGTTTATAAAATAACTTCCTCCGAGGACGTAATCGTGACATACTGTTTGAATAATGTTAATGAACAGCATACCATTGATATATTTTGTTTAATTTCCAAGTGTTACATTGTACAGATTTGATTTATTTCATTTTTGATCACCAAGTAACCTAAGTAAGAGAACCACTGAAAATCAAGGAGTACTGAAGAGCTGTTTCGACCTATCTTGTGACTCCTCAGCATTACGCGTCTATTGCCCCATAAGGAGTCTAACCCACAACCTTCATGTTACAAGGCAGGCTCATAGACCATTCAACCACGTGGACGGAATCCAGTGGCCAATCAGTCCTAACTTCTGTCAATTTGCGATAAATATATCGCGACCGCCGAACGATGTTTTTGGCGAGTATCTTTTCTCGTGACCAGCTGGTCACGACTTGTCAATACCACTTCAGACAGTTTCACCCTGTAGTCAGTTACTAGTGAGAACTAGGTTATTCGTGGTTGGTTCGCAAGGATTTAACTGATTTCAAGTGGTCATCTAAGTGAAAATAGTTCACGATCCAGACGGCTAACAAGGTCACCTTGTAATCTGAAGATCCTGGATTCTATTCCTATTGGGATCATGGGTACATACTGTTGAAGAGACAAAAACAGGGACCAAACGGCCGCCCATTACCTACTGATTTTCTATGGTCCTCTAACTGAAGTCAGTTCGCGATCAAAATGACTACTTACCTTCAGAAATACGACTTGCAACAAATTTTCTACCAAGCGGATGATTCTACTTGTTAGTAGTATAATTGTAAAATGGGATAAGCGCATGTTCATGATTCAGACAATTTGACAAACTCAGAAGGAATAGTTACCATTTTAATGTGATGCCTTAGAATGGGAAATCACACTATATTCTCTGAGCTCGGCTGTTTAACTGCAAGGATTTCACTGTTTTTCCAGACAACATATCCAGTGCGAACTTCAGCATAGAGGGAAATTGGATTTTTGGCGCACAAAATTCGGTAAGAATGAGAACGAAACATGTAGGATTTAGAAGAGCATGGAAGGTATTAAACACTGAACAACCTAATACTGGCTGACTAAAAATTCAATGTTTAAATAACATTGGCGTAGCTGAAGGTTTTTGAAATAACTTAGGTGGAATAAGAATATAAACGTGTAGCTTTATTCTCATGTGTTTTTAGCTATTTTGTAGCCACTTAACCGTAGTATCTAGCCTGTCAGATACTCTAGTGGTATCCTCGTGACTTTACGTTGCCAAGATCAATGAGAAATTACACAAGGTCAGAAGTGATTTGTGTGTTATTTGTCCATGCTCCCCATCGTGATAATAGTTTGTGTGCCAGTGATTCAGTGGTAGAATGCTCGTCAACCATGCACGGGTTCGATTGGCATCCGACGCACTCCAAAATCTTATCTAATTTGCCAGCCTCTGGTAATTTGGGAAAAAAGAGAAGATTGGGTATGAGTTAAGCAACCCCACTAGGTAGAAACAACACCACCGCTACTGCTACTCAAGGAACTAAAGCTAATAAGCTATTTAACAGTTGTTTGACAGTGTACATGAAGTTCTGCATTTACTGATTTCCTATTATAACTATATGACCTGTGAACGATTTACAACTATTACTTGATATTAGGGATTTCTCCTATGATCTGTGTAGTGTCATTTTCCTCAAAGGGTGAACAGTTAACATATTATTTTGTTTAAGTCAGTTTGGCTTTCCCGTTGATTTGTTGAACCGAAATATCTGGCTTGTGTTGACATGTTGGCTTCTAGTACGTATGCTCTGACGACGTTTTAGGATTGACAGTTATGTTACCTGGTGGAATCCATGGACTCATCAGTTGGATATGCCTGCAATCCGCATCCACCAAGTTACATCACTAGAAATCTGAAGACGTCTCCAAAGCACTCGTACTAGGAGTCGACATGTCAACATAAGCCTAACATAGATAGATAGACAGAGAGCTGAATATGGAGAGGGGACGAGGAAGAAACACGAAGTCATTGGCAGATAATATGATAAGGTTTCAAATGTGAAATGAACACAATATGAGTGATAAATGTTATCCGTATTTGAAAAAATATGCGTAATCACAAATCAGACATGGAATTACACTGGTGGGAAACTTGTTGTGTTCAACAATTAATCATAATTAGTTAATTTCTTTTCATGAACTGTACAGAAGAGATACATTAATAAGACTAATTTAACAATAAGTGTGCGCAATAAAAAGTAATGCAATTAACTCTCGTTATATTTTGAAATGTTCGCATAACTGTAGTCTTCCAGAATTTTATCTTTCTAAAAACAAAGATCAGCATTATTATTATTCGTCCTTTTTATTCCGAGCGTAACATAGAACTTCAGTAGCATATCACAACCCCCCTGTTCTATTCCGTTTTTTTTAGCTGCGCAGGATTGTCTGTAAGCTTTCATATTCTCCTCACACTACCTCCTGTGTGTCATCCTTGGACTCACGCTGAAGTTGGCTTTTTCCATTCACGTTCCACTCTAGGACTCAGCGCGCGATGTCATTCAGCAGTCTCCCCAACGTATGTCCAATCCACGTCAGCTTCATTCTACCTATTTGTTGGACAATAGGTTGTTTATTGGTTTGTTGGCAGGGATCCTTGTCGCCCATCTTTTCTGATTGCCCATCTGATTTTCAGTGTGGAGGCAGATGTTGATGAAAGTCCACAGCAGGCTGTTGAAAATGCTTTTAGTGATACACACAATAAGTCTCTGGAGCATGTAGAAGTACTGACTCATTTGAAATGAGTGTTGAGTACTGTAGATCTCCACACTATTTTTAGAGAGATGAACGCCTATCTTGCTTTTCCTATCCTTCTGAGATCACAAGACCAACATTACCAGAAATAGTATTAAGTAAAATTAAATGTGTCCATTCTGGCGTAGATATTCCAAATTCAGAAAGATAAGATTAAAATAGTTTCTCCAAAGAAAGAAGGACCTAATTCACCATAATACTGCATGCGTTTATTTCAAGGCTTTTGTTCACTTACAAACAGCTTAAAGTATACTGAGTTTCAAATATCCAAATCGCAGAGATCCTGAACCTATCTCTGGTTTCAGAAGACTAAGCCTAATACACAGAATATTATGCACTGTAACCGACGCAGAACAATTGAAAACGGTTGGGTAACACGACTGCTTATTCTTTAACCGATAACAAAACAGATTTACAGTGGTTAATCGGGGCCAAAGTCTGCAAATAAACGTTTATGTAATGTATAGAATACTTCTGATCGTATTTCTCCAATCTTCTGCCAACCAGTACACGATTAAGCAATGACAGCCTTTTTGTCTCCCGTCAGTATGGAGACCAGTTCAAACAAACAAACGATTCAGTGTTCACCAGCATTGACACTGGGTATTAATGAATTCGAAACTTTTCAAATACATATTTAAATTTACTTTCCGAGGCAAATATATTCCAGTGACTGAAAGACTGGTAGTTATTCACCTTAGTGAATATAATCTGAATAGCCTTGAAGGACAAAATTCTTGGATATGCTTGGACACTTTAGTTACATTTAACCGACTCAGGATAACGCGTTGGTGATTCTCTTATTCTGCTTTGAACAGAAGACTACAAAACAATTCGATTTCTTTACTCTTAGTCCACTAAATTTCAATATTGGCTTTACAAACAAGTTCATGTAATATTCGTGCATTTCCTTTCTGCGTATTGATAGGTAAAATTAGAAACTTTTGTACAGCGATTTCTAAAACTTCTTGAATCTTCTTTCCAATTTCTAATGAGTAGTTGGTTTATCTGTATTATAGAATCATGACATAAGAATAAAATACTCGCCAGCCATGTGAAAGGTTCGAGTTTGATTCCCGGTGAATGCACTGCTAAATCTCGTCTACTCTAAACCGGGAGAAGAGGAAAGGTTGGTCGTGAGGCTAGCAACCTGATAGCTATTGAAACTTTAAAGCTTGAAGCCCCACGTTCCCCTCAAAATGCAAGGAATGAAAAAATCATGATTTCATGATAAGTTCTTCAAAATTCTACCCCCATACTTGGCTTTCTTCAAATTAAGGAACAAGTTTTGATTCTGACAGTACTGTTTATGTTTCGGGTTATTTGCAGCCTTCGTCAAACATACTTATATTGTGCAGCAAATTTCGCTCTTCTTTTTCTGACAAAAACAACTAAAGAAATACTTTGTTCGACAACAAAATTCTCCCCTATTCGAAGCAAATACCGTCAGAGGAAATAAAAACATGCCTCCCGTACTATCCAAAATTTGTTGGCTAGACTCTCTTGAACTGAGACGCATTTAAATTAAAAATAGAACTTAAATTCACCTGATTATCATCTCAAAGTGACTATGATGTGCTTCATCGAAAAATCCAAATCCCGATAACCACTTAAAACATAGATCAATAACTGGTAGATTTTACAGCCAGATATTTTCTTAGCTTTTTCACTTTACCTAATCCTCTCCTAGCTTACTAGCCGATGACAAGCTCAGGAAAACAAAAGGGAGACTGAGCATGAGGCGAGCAATCCCATCCCATTAAAATAACATCAGCGCTACTTAAATTTGAGGTCCTATGTTCGAACTCGGAACACTGGTGTAGTGAATTTTCGCATTTTTTCCTAACAGTGGGTTTACCGATATAAATTATACAAAAACATAACAGTTTAGAACTCACTTATATATGACTAATATCTTTTATTTTGCTTTACTAAATTTCCTAGAATTTCTGTAATCTAATTGAACGATTCAAACGGTTAGCCAAGAAGTAAAATTTAAAAAATCTGCAAACATTTATCATCACCATAGTACCCATGAATCAGTGACATAATTAAAACAATGATTACTATCCCCAGTGCACACTTTCAAGTAGTTACTTTTGGTAGATGTTTGTCTTTACTGTATTACTTTATTTATTTATTTACTTATTTACATATGCATATATATGCACAAATGCAAACACACACATACACACACGCACACTCACAGAGATACGCAGTGTACACTTGATTTTGTTCATGAATTGTTTTCTTTCTTTTTGTCCAATCCATTTTCTATCAGTTTTGTTCCTAATTTCTTTTACGCTACTACTGCTACTATAATGTCATTAATGCTGTCTTGGAAGTTCTTTTCTTCTTCTGTTCATAATGATGATTATTATAATTATTCCCGTTGTTATTAGCATGATTTCGGTTAGAACAAGTGAACAGTGAACAAAGTATAACACCAAAGAACTGAAATATATAAAGAGAAAACAAAATAATGCTGGAATTCATAATCACTTGTTTGTAACATAATGTTAACATTCAAACAATGAATGTTTATTCCAAATGATAAGCACCAGTGCTATCGATTAAACCATAAATGAAATGAAAATGCTGTCCAAAAGTGAATAAGGTGAATACATTTAAACAAATAATTAGCTTATTGAGTAGTATTCTCCTGTCTTTAGTAAAAACTGTGTATTAGGGTTTTTTACATCAGTAAGTGAATTAGGAATTAGCACGGTAAAGTACTCAATACAAACCTCTACTAATCAGCAGTGATTAAAATGAGTTTATGAAGTGAATATACAGAGTGCCAGTACAAAATCCTGTATAATATCACACTACTGAACTTTACAATTAACTGAAAACTTGAGTATGATTATTATCTCGTCTCAGTGATCATTTATTTATATTAATAGTCAATTTTATTACCTTACCTAGGAAATGTCTAGCCGAAAATGAAAAGGATTCGGTTATAAATCAAACAAATGTTGATCATGAGAATACCGTTTATTTAGTTATTCGTGTAAGATTTTGGATAAGATTTTATTTTGATAAATCACACAGTGTTGTACAGTTATATTAACTGATGACGTTTCGAGCACAAACTATTGCTCATAATCATATCAAGTTACTCACACAACTTCTTTCCTTCATTTATATACATGTGTGGAATCGATTAGATATTGAATTTTATTCCAATATCTAATCGATTCCACACATGTATATAAATGAAGGAAAGAAGTTGTGTGAGTAACTTGATATGATTATGAGCAATAGTTTGTGCTCGAAACGTCATCAGTTAATATAACTGTACAACACTGTGTGATTTATCAAAATAAAATCTTATCCAAAATGGAGTTATGCTCTACCACAGTGCCCAAGTTTTATACTTATATTCGTGTAAGATCTTAGGGAGCGTTTTCTTAGCAAGTGACGACAACCATTAGCGTCCATCAGAAATGCCAAGTGTCATCATTTTTACTTAGTTCCATTATAAATGCACTCGCAAGTGTGATCCCAACTGATTTTGATATCTTAAAGATTTATTATTTACCTGGGTATAGCGTTATTGATCTAGAATACGCAGATGATTTAGTGTTTCGTGGTGAAGACGCTAACAAAATGCAGTCTTCTTAATACCTTCAGCAAAGTCTAAGTATGCTTGGCATGTGATTTACCCTTACCAGATGTAAAATGACGCTTTAGGACTGGTGTGCACGGACTCCTAGTTTTAAGGATAAGTAGTGGAATGATTAAATGTTTTCTCCATTTCACTTATTTTGGAATTTGTGTCAGCCCTGACGAACTGATAGCTAACGAAGTGTTAACACACAAAAGTCTTGTTTTAAATTGGCCTATTTACGTCCTCTTTTGAGTAGGAATGATACCTGACCATCCAACATAGGAAGTGTACTGCAACCCAGTTCACCCCACCCCTCCTGACAGTTGAAACATGGCCACTGAAAGAAAAATTTAGACGTTTTCGACCGAAGTTATCCGTGTTTAATGTGTTATGTTAGGTGGTGCAACATTTTCAGCATTGATGAGGTTATGAGTGAGGCGTTACACAAAGAGAGGAAGCGAATCGATGAAGTGAACTTTCTTCGACTGAGACAATTAGGACATGTGTAATATATACCAAACAACTTCCTTACTCGATGAATAATATCATTTAAGGTTTCACTGAAGTAGAAAAGAGTTTCGGATTATTAGATAAAAAGTAGAGAGCTGAAAGTCAGTGGCCGGCGTACCATAGGGACTTGGCACAATATCCTACACATTGATGCGAATGTACTCATTATTTGTCATCTCCTGGATTCTGAAAGTCATCACTAATCTTCGTGTGTTTAGCCATTCTCCCACACCGATGTTTGTCCAGCACACTATCATTACATTTTTACTTTTCTCGAAGATTAATAAGTCATACTGATGCTCTATGTGAAAAGTTACATGCTGATAATTCATTTTAATTCATTTGCATGAGTTGGGCCTCATAAATATGAAACACTGATTACAAGAAGAGTCACCTATTTCCCTAAACGACTGAAAGCCAGAGTAGAACTTTGCGCCACTTTTCATCAGTTCAAATTTATTATGTTTTGTGAGAGCGCACATAAAAGAGAAGAGGGAAAATTTAATGATACTTTAAGAGAGAAACATGGATGTGAAGCAATGATTAAATACCTGAAGATTAGTGTTTCTACTTATCATTCCATCTACGCATTTCATCAATAGAACATCCGAAATTCACAGCTGGATGGGCATTGTTAAATTTCTATAATAGACACTATGCCTCACTTATGTTTCTTTAAAATTATCAATACATATCATCCATTTGGATGACATTAGAAATCCAGGTCATTCATTATATATTTCAAAGAACCATTCCATAGTTTTGATAGAAAAAAACTCCGCTAGGATTGATTGCAATGGTGGTCCCATAGCAACATTAACTATCTGCCTATACATCTCTATTCTGGATAGAAAGCATATGTTCACCGTGCGTCCAAAAGGGTTCCTTTAATGTAGACGTGAAAATACCAAATACTAGAGAAGATTTGTAGCTCAGGTGGATGATTTGCAATTAATAGAGAACACTATTAATTGCAAATACCAAATACTACATCTTCATTTATAGGTTCATCACATATATATATATGTCGTTTCTATCAAAGGCACATTAATGAATAAATAAGAGACACCCAAGGTTTTCAAGAACTTATTGTCTCTGATTCTCTCCATAAACTCAAAAACGTCTTTTACGACCTTCTTGTGCAGTGGTTATAAAAGTTATTTTGACGAAGATGACAATAAGAACAACCATAGAATGTCAAAACAACGTGGGAGAATATCAGCCTAACGTGTCACTGATATCATCATTAAGTCCTCCTTACAACAGTAGTTGCTGTGTGCAAAACAACTTCATCAAGTTTCATTTCTTTACTAGGTCAGCATAGTTGTTTGTATGATGACGTCAATTACCTCCCCATAAATTATCGATGTCTAAGCTATTTCTTCGTAAAATTACGACTTCATGGTGCCGCTTACTTTACTCACATTCTCCTGATCAAGTTATGGATGTTATTCTAACTTGTGAGGTAAATATCAAATGAAATAATACAAAGTCAAGTTTCCTCTATTTTATCAACAACATGCAATCCTAAATTCGCTAGATGTAAGATACTTTTCTATATCAATTAGACAAGGATCAAAACCAAGGAAACTAACTCAGTGACTGGAAAGTAGAAGCACTATCCTCGAAACCTGATAGTCATTTAGAAGGTTACCATGTCTTATTGAAAGTCTCCAAAAATGGAATAACATAGATTTCAACCGCTCTTAAATTTCAGCTCATGATAAAGCTCATTACGAATCTATCAGAATTCACCCAATTACTATAATATAATCAAATAAATTATTAGGAGTCTACTATGTGTTGTTACATATTACTTCAAAAAATAGTAGCAAGTTACATATCAAGGTTAAAAAAAGTACTTTTTGTTCCACTTACCTGACAAACTGCTATACAGTAGTTGACTAGCGCGATACGAAACTGACCTGATTTTGTTAAACCTGTGAGTTTTGATAAACAACCCTGTATAGTATGACATTATTAAGATTAGTTGACGTTAAATGCCTACCTTCTTTTCACCAGCTTTCAATCCACATGCCAAAATTGGCTTACGATCTGACAGATCTTCAACGCTTAGTTTACCACAGCAATCAAGCTAATAAAATATACAGAAATAATATAATGCAGTTGGATAACAAATATAAACAAAATTGAATAATTAACGTTTGATGGTTAATAAAACTTATGCTTCTGGTTTCAAAGAAAGGCAATATGTAATCAGTTTAACATAAAGGAAATACTTTAGTGTTGGACTTTTATGTATCAGTGAACACTGTACTTTAGTTAATTCTTAATAATCAGTCTGATTATTTGATTCTATTTAGATTCTAACCCCCAACTTTAATTTTTAAAATGGAAGTTCGATTCTATGTATTACCAGTGTATCGATGCTGGTATTCAGAATTAGGGTGATATGAACTGATTCTGCTGTTTGAGCCGAGTCATTCCAGGTACAATGCTAATGACTTAAGCAGCCGTCTGGTCTTTTGAACACTCTCATCTGCCTAGTGAGCATTACTACTCGACATGAATAGTCTCCAGCTACTCATATCAATCAACAATACACATGGACGTGCTGTATCACAGCTTTTGCTTAAATAGATAATTAAATGAATACTCAAAAATTATGCATTAGTAATTTATTAGAGCATGCAGTTTTAATTAGTTCTACTATTGTGAATAACAAGAAGTCCATGCTTAGATAGTAATATTTGTTTTTATGAAATAGGCTGTAGATATTAGTACAAATGATATATTAAATTATTGTCTCCACTTAATTTCACCTTCATTACTACTTTTGGTTATATAGTACTAGTAGCTATGCTTATCTGTAGAATGAACATGTAGAAAATTCTACATCTACTGCCGCTGACAATTAAGCTTCTTGTTTTCCCTCTAGCGATGATATCATTTAATTATTATTATTATTGTTCCCTTGGGTTCCAAGTGGAACGTAAAGCTTCAACAGCAAATCTCCGCTTTGTCTTATTCTCTGCTATCCTCTTTAGCCGGCCTTACTATTTTCCATAGTCTCTGATCTCCTCCTCGCACAATCTCCTCCACGTCACCCAGGCCCCGCGCGTCGTTCCCCACTAGAATAATTTAATGATGCTAAACAATTTTTTATTTAGAAAGTGACCAATTAAGAAAAGTGAAGTTATCCATACCAGTAATATTATCCTTTGAGGCTTAGTAATTAGTTAACGAGTTGCTTGAGAAGGGCATTCCTCTCTGCTTAGCTGTGAAACCACCTTATTTATTTGATAAATGATTCATGTTTATCTGGACGTATCTTAAAATAACTAGTTTACAGAATGCTTGATGAAATTCCACAATAAAATCATATTTCCCTGTAGATTTGTTTTCTTTAGTCCTGGAGATTAAAGTGCAGCATTTTTCATTTATTGAATAGCTGCTAGATTTTGGTCCCAGAGAGAACACAGTCACTCGTTGGAATGTGGGTAAAATCCTGCCGATAAATCCAAAATAGAACGAAACATGCGACTCAGATTCTACTCTTGTCTACCATCAACCGAATAATTCCCAGTTCACTTTGAGAGATCTTCGAAGTGTCTATACTAGGAAGCGACAAGCTTATATAAATGAGGCGCTTCTGTCCAGTAAAATTAGTGGATGAGGAGTTTAAGATCATTTCAATAATTAACAACTCATAAGCGATCCAGCTATCAATGTAGTTACTGAGTAGTAACATATCTAGTTGCGTCTCTGAGAATACTCAGATATACAAAAACAAGTTGTCTTGCACCAGTAATCATGCACGATTAGTGTGCAATTTAATAAAACAAAGTTTAAATGTACAACCTACTTCTATAAATTATATTTTACTTACTTTATATTGTAGATAATTGAAAAATTTCGTATCTTCATTGACCATTAAACGTTTCTCATCATAATTATCTAATAGTCTGTTGAACATTTGTTCTAATTCATAATGAATCTATAAAAATAGAATATAAATTCGTTATAACAGTGTAGAATGAAAAGTATTCCAGCTAATACAATATCGAAACTCACATTTTCAGAGTACTTCGATGCCCATATTCCACAACCAAGTAAACAGACTCCACTAAGCACCAACAGTATGCAGAACTATGAATAATAGAGTTAAAAATGTAATTGTTCATTAAATGAAGTATCTATAGAAACATAATATAACAGATTTTTAATTTTTTGTCATTCAAGGTATGTGTTTTTGTACTTGCGAAAAAAATATAGCACTCCCACCATTAGAATAAGACGATACGCTGGAGATCACTTGTCAGGCTTTATCAGAGCGTTTAAGCCATTGTAGCATGTGGTTGACTTGATACCCCTATAAACCCTAAAAACTCAAGCACAATGGTTAACTACTATTATTGTTATGACTCATTATTCGGATTCTGAGTAGAACATGAGGCTTCAGAAGCACATTTACATTATATTTTGTTCTCTGTCATCATTTTCAGCACGACTGCCCACAAGCTTTTATCACCTCTACACACGATCTCCTGTTTGTCACCCAGAAATGCACCCATGCCCAACACGTGGCTTTCCATCCAGATTCCACGCAGTTATCTCTTTAGTGTGTGTCTAATCCATCTCCATTTTATTCTGCATGTTTTCTAGGTAATAGGTTATCTAATTCGCTGCTGGTGTTGTTGAGTGCAAAATAACCTCACCAAGTTTCACCAAAGCACAAAAATGGTTGCTGCTACACTGTACTAAAATGTGAGAGAAAATCTGATTATTTATTAGTTCTTGATAGAGAAATTGAGACTATCTGAATATCTGACGTCTGTTATACTTCTCTTAGAGATCTACTCACCTTTGGCATTTAAACTGAGGGAGTCAAAAGTGGAAAAGCACTTCTTGAACTTATTTTTTTATTGGAGGATTTGGTCATACACTTCCTGGCCACATGTTCATCTCTTCATTTTTATATTTATTTCCTTAATCGACTGCTTCCTGCTTCATATTATTATGATTCCACATATGACATTAAAACACCTTTGTCAATTTGGTGTGCTGTCGATAATAGCATACTTAACTTCCATATTGTGCTTTGTCTTCATCAGGAATCACAGAAACTTATAATTAAGTGGTAAAACTTCTATTTACAGAAGTGAAATGTGTTGGTTGTGAATCCTGAAGGCATGAAAATGATAAGAAAATAGGTGGTAGATAATGTGACTTAGAGAAGAACACCGATGTTCCTTGCGCAGAGTTGCAATTTTAATTATCGATATATATATATATATATATATATATATATATATATATATATATAAAGCTCACCATTGTCAATAAACTCTTTGATTGAGACAAAATTCCAACCCATCCAAGTGGGCTAGTAATTAGAATAAACACTCCACACGTACATGTTATATAAGATCCTATTTTTTAAAGGAAAATACGAAGAACTGGTAATAATCAGAATTTCATTTTAAATAAATATTCTTATTCGTTATTAAACTTAAATAATTATATTCATCAGATAACACTTTAACATGTAATACTAGAAACGTTTGATTTCAGATTTTCTTGAAGAAATCAGCATCTGTTGGAATTCAGACAAAAAAAGGAATAACAAATGTGCCTCTATTCTGGTAGTATTTATCTTTGGACACTATCCAAACAAATCAATAGCACTGGTAGGATTTTCATGGAGTAATCCCTTCTAAAACTGAAGGTCTATTACCTCACGTCAGTAACATAGACTGCAGACACATTTTACGGTAGATTTCTTCATGAATAAATGTGAGAGAACTACTGAGTGCATTAGATAAATGTACAACTGTTTCGTCTTAGTTTGTGACTTTTCAGCAGTGCATTTCTGAAACTGTAAGTCGAATAAAACCCAGAAATGCAAAATCGTGCAATGTAGATGTCGATTTATTTATTTATTTATTCATTTATTATTTATAAAAATACAAACTTGATAAATTATGGGCAGCAAGAGATGTGCCGCACAAAATCTCATCGTTTTTGCGAGGGATGAGATACTACTTGAACACCCAGACCGAAGCAGTTGGTTGTCTTAATCGGCCACCCCTGAGTCTTTGACATGAAGTCTGATCTACAAGGCAGTGGGGCTACGTTTCCATAATTGCTTGTAACCAAAACAGGATCATACGTTGCTCTATATGTACGGATTGCGGAACCCATGTACAGCAGAGGTTTGAAATTAGGATTTTCAAGGTCGCCTAAGTAGGCGGGCAAGTTCACCAGTCCGATCGTAAGCGCAAGACGTTCACACTTGCCCTTTCACTTTTTTAAGGAACAAGTACACCAAGTGAAGACACTGAATAAGGCACACGTGGCAGAGGCTATGAGCGCATGACCACATGAGAACATTTCGAGAGGATGACCGAAGTCCACCCATCCTCGACCACACCAGATCGTTTATGTTGTTTATCAGCCACTGATTACAAATGCATTAATCCAGATACTTTTACGAATCATTTTGTAAGAGAAAAACGTATCCACTTAAATCAGCTTACCAGTGAATAGTGATAGTCCATACTTTCCTCTAAGAAAGTGATATTCACTATATGTGAATTCATAAATCCCACTGCTTAATGCTATACATCCAGTGATCTATATTTGTTTTTAGAAAAAATACGGAATTCAATATACAATTTTGTTTAAATTACCAAATAGAAGATATTGAATACAGTTAAACAGTGTAGTATCCATTTCTGACACAGAAACATTTAAATATAATCTAATAGAAAAGTATATATTTAAACGAAAAAATATATATCAGCTGACAAATGCATTATAAATTATTCATTATAAGCAGTATCATTGTTCAATTGACCAATATGATATAGGCATTTCACACAGTGTGAATAAAGATGGAATTCTTTTTCCATGTAACTGGCCATTAGGAGTATGATCACCTTATTAGCATACACATTTTCTCTTGATAACTGCGCATAAATTAGTGTGTGTAAAGCTGAAAAAGACAAAGTTATTCAATGAATCATATAACAGATGAATGAATAAACAGTCATTCCAGCAATGTGTACTTATTCCGAATGCATAAACAATCTTTAAACATGGCTTTATTGATTTATAAGAACAAAGCTGTTTGTGAAATAGACAGTTACATTTAAAAGCTGTAGGTGTAGAACTTATTTGAGATATATGAAATATGATTAAGAGATGCAGTTGTGTATGTTTAGGTAGACTGTTTTGCACTCAACATATAAGCGTAAATGAATCCTTTATTTTGATGCGGTGTTCACTATCCACTGGAGGAGATAAGACAGCACTATTCACTGACTTGGTTACTCCTTTTCCAAGGTGAACGGGTACATGTTCACTAGTACGTAATAATAAATTCCTCTGAGTACGATTCAAATAACTAGCTCCATAGTAGTAGTATGCACACATCGATGTGGCCACCAAAAGTAACTTATCTTTAATGCACTGTGTCACTATATTTCTGGTTGAGTAGCTGACATCTTACAATGACGTTCTTATTCCTTTTCACCTAGTTTATTTCATAACATTATTATCATTATTATTTGTCATATTAGGCTTGTCTTGTCTGTATTATTTGATTACGGTTCACTATTTGATCATTTTTTACCTCTATTTTTGTTATTTCTCATTCCTCAGACTTACATTTATCGTGCTCCATTTTTTCGTTTCAGCTACAGACGGAATGGATGAATTTGTCGAAACCAGAATCGGAAAGGCAAAATAGACATTCATCACCCTGAAATCAGTTCGTAAATCCCCTACACTCAGCATGAAGAACAAAATCGGGACTTTCAATGGCAGTCTTAAGTCGCTTCTTCTATATGGGTGAGAAATTTGCACTGCGCGTGACCAAAAGCATTTCTAACAGGTTGCAGACTTTTTTCAACAGCTGCCTTCGCTGGCTCCATACTGAATATCAGATTGCTGGCCGAAAAGGATTAGCAACAAGAAGCAATGAGGAAAAACCAGCCCAAGACCTACTGCTCAACAAACATAAGTGGATATGGATCTGACACACACTGAGGAGACGGTTAAGTGACATCGCGCGCCATCGAGTGAAACCCGAATGGGAAACGAGGAGCTGGGCGTTTGTCCGAGGGTGACATGGAGGAGATCATGTGAGGAGGAGATCAAAGATTATAAACAATCGTGAGACCAGCTAAAGAGGACAGCAGGAAATAGGACAAAGTGGAGATGTACTGCTGAAGCCCTATGTTCCATTCGGAAACCAAGGAAACAAGAATGATAATAAGTTTGTCTACATTTTTGTAGTATCCATACTTCTCTCACACCACTTCAGATAACTCACCCGACTGAAATCTATATTCTGTATGTCACTTATTAGTTTTTCATACCAATCTTATGTTCCGAATAACTGTACTTTTTATATGCATTCAGTTGACAATCTCAACCAGCAGACTACTATTCCATCTTATATAGTTTCTGTTATAATTTTTATTTGCCTTTTGTAATTTTTATATTCTTATAATCATGGATTTATAACTGTAGAACCTGAAAAAAGTATTGAAAATAACTGTTTATTCGAAAAACTTTTCTTGCTGTGAAATATGATTCTTGGCACAGAACGTTCATTTCACAGTCTAGTAAAGGCACTAGAAATACTAAAACGCTTTTGTATGTAGTATTCTGATATTTGAAATCAGTGGTTCAAACACATGACTACAGTTCACCCAGAATCATTAGTCTCCCTAAAGATATTTAAACACAGCTGTCTATGAATTTTGCACTCATAAAATAAGTATTTAGACGTTAACGAAAATACTAGAAGGCTTTGCAAAATTCTTCAATGCTTAGATGAGAGCAATGGATATACGTAGGGAGCGTGAGTAATTCATTTACCCTTACTCTAAATAAATGATTTTCAAAGGCTTTATAGTTCTGAAGAAAAGAAAGTTAAGTGAAAATATATAATGAGCACAGCTAGTGTTTGAATATAACTCTTATGATAGCTTTAACTTCTAATGAGCCATACTTAGAGTTACTAGGATCAACCGGTATAATAATCGCTAACTTTGGTTTCCTCCATATTCTAATTTGTACTGCTCACTTCTAACTATGAATACAGCTAACCTGTTCTGTTACATATCCTCACTTTAGTGTTATTGTTTTGTATGTTAAGTTTTCGTTTTGTATTCAAAAAGTATTCTTTTTAAAATTTTACATTGCTCTAGAGATGATTCGATATGGTAAGAGTAACAGACTATGCATGACATCATGCTATCAGCTTCAGGAAGTTCATCTGATTCTCAAACCAGTTTTCAGAGATCAAAGCAGGCGTTGTAGCACTGACCGTTCGACGTTCAAGTATAACTTGATACCGGAAACTTAATAAGTAAAGAACACTCTGTCACATGTAACAGTCATAAGGAAGAAAACGTAACAGCGAAGAAAATGTTATTTTCGAATAATCATTTTCAAAAGCTATACGCTAATACATGTGTATATATATTGACGTGGAATTCATCAAACCAACCAAATACCAGTAATTATGTTCGAAAAAGTTTTACGTAATGTTAGCAACAATCCAGAGGGGAATATACAGGTGAAAGTTTATATTACGTAACAAGTGTAAAAATGAAATAGTCAACATGAATATTCAAAATGGAAAAGAGCATTTTGACTGGTCGTTACTTAGTGACCAATGTCTTGCGACTAGTCCATGGGTTGGTACAAACTGAATTCTATCGGTCAAGTTTGCACTATGGTCACCATACTGGGTGTCTGGCCATTGCGATGCACACTAAATGGATCTTAGGTGAATTAAGGTAATCAGTGGGAAGCCCTAGACCTAGGTTTTGTGCTAGTTGACACTTACCAGTCAGCAAGGCACATCTGCAACCTTGAAAGAATTCATTTCCCCTCTGGGGTGTAAACACGTGTCACCCCGTCCTGCAATCAGAGTCATTAGCACTGAGCTATTCGGGCCTGCGATAGACCTCCCATAGGAAAATATGGTAGCTTTTAAATGGGAAACCAGTAGTCAATAATAACAATGACAGTAATAACTAGACATCAGACAACAAAAATTAAACAGAATTCTGGTTAAAATAGTATCCTGGTCAGGTGCTTGAATTACTTTTGGACAGAAAGATCAGGTTTAAGGGACTTAGGCTATTATCCCACTTGTTATGCCATACCAACTTCCGTTTCTTAAATTCCACCTGCGAATTCTCCTTTGGATTTCTACTCACATTGTGTAAAACATTTTCTAAAACTTAATTACTGGTATTTGATTAGTTTTATAAATTCAAAGTTGAATTTATATATATATATATATATATATATATATCACCGAAATGAAGAATTTCATCACTGTTACGTTTTCTTTTCATGACTCACTATGGGAAACTTTCTTTCATATGTGCAGTAGTGATTACTAGCAATATCTAGAATTCATTCACACTAACTAGAAACTCTCATTAGCTATTATAAGGTTATAATTGCAACAAACAGCTGCTTAGTCCTACTTATAATGGATAAATCGTCATATATCCAAAGTAGATTAATTCACTCTGGTTGGTAGGAAATTCTGATTGCCAAAATTTTGTGATATTTAAGGGAATTAAACACAGTTGCAAGAGATGAAAGATGATTGTTATTTGGGTTGAAACATTATGCATTTTACCTGAGTAAAGTACCAAATATTCATGAACATGATTTAAATTATGAATACTCACCAATTATAGTTAAGTAGAATTGATGGGTATTACGAACAAAATCCTTTTTGAAGTACACACCAATCCTAAGCTGCAAGTATTGAACACTGTTTACTTGCTAGTCATTAATTGTTTAGTAAAAAGCTTATTAGGTCTTCCAGTTAATTAGGACTTATTTCAAGTGTGGCCATGAACTGATAACTTTTAGAGAATCACTGAAAACCAGGGAGTACTGGGCAGCCGTTTCGTCCTCAGCTTCAGCTTCTTCATCAGTATGCGCCCACCGGGATTCAAGCCCAGGGCCTTTTGGTTACAGGCAAGTCCGTAGACAGTCCAACCAGTGGAACTCGACTAAGTGGCCCATGAGTTCCAACTTCTATAAATTCGCAGTTTTAATGGGACCACCAACTAATTTCACCAGCAAGTATTTGTCCTCACTCCTGACAGGATTGACCGCACTGGTTATGACTTCTCACTCGAACTCCAGATAACTCAGTCCAATGGTTCTCTAACTGATGTCAACTCGTGATCAAACTTGAAACCAACTGATTTCAACTTACCTAAAGAAACTCCTTTACTCCTTTCCCATATGACGATTCCCAAATCGGATAAGACGCGCATCCTGGATTCGCCTACTAGTCACCATTCACCAAATAACATCAATGTTATTCCTCATATATTGTTGAAACGTTCGCACTAGGAGCCAACATATCAATAGAGACCGAACATTTTGGTTTAATCAACCAACAGGCGAAACAAAAACTGACTTAAACAAAATCAGAATTTTCTTCATCTAATTTCATTACAGACTGTGTTTTGACATCATGATGTCTTTTACAATTCATTATTTTAGACTTATTCAGTCTTAAGCCAGAAAGTCAAATGCGCCTGTAGATGAAGTCAGAGGATACTCTCAAAGGTGTCTATCTTAACTCACCGGCGAAAAAGTTCCTGAATATTCAGGAAAAAGAATAAGTAAGTTAATAAGTAGTGTTATTTCATTATATTTCTTGGATAGTGGACATCACATTTCATACAGAGAGTGC